AGCTGAGAAATAAAAATAAAACATCCAAATCCAAAGTACCATTTTTGTAGTAACACAAAACAACACACACTAGCATGAACTCTGTTACTCAAATGTATGGTATATGTAGTAACGGAGAGAGTTGTCTATTCACTGTATCACCACTACACAGTCATCGCGTTATTAAAACTGTTTTCGGTATAATCAGACCACAACGACGTGTCGTGTTGACCTTCTATTACCATATAACTTGCAGGAGAATCAATATCCATTTTATTCGTTTATATAAGCAACGGTTCATCGATATGTGGCATATTGTATGTTATCTTTCCACTTAAATATCAAGGCAAAAGGTCATTTCAGTCTCCTTCCATGTAGAACGGAGTTAACAACTGATCGAGCATACTTGAATTGGTGAAGCACCTCGCATTACCGGGAGTCTTTTTTCAACCAATACCGGTCACACGGAAAGCCGCCACACAGGAACAAAGCAAATCACAGCAAAAATATTAAACAATCATAAATAGTTATGAGAGCATGGACGAACACAAATCCGCATAGGTATGACAAATACATTCTCAATGTATTCTGGAAATGTGTTTCATAACAATCGTAAATAAAAAGACTTTTTAAGCATTGAGTTCCGATGGAAATGCCTACTTCACCATAGAATGATCGTTCGATTAGCCCGATGGTGTACCGAGACAGTCTGGTAAATTCGATATATTAACAAATCAATTATTTATTTAAACCACAAATTGAAATATTGAATGAGTCCAGTGTTCAAATGTACTTTTCGAAACTGAACTCGGTCAAATGGTCAATATTCAATCCGATAAAGGCACTACACCTGACTTGTTGATCACTAGCTGTACAGGTACTAACATCCGATAAAGGCACTACACCTGACTTGTTGATAACTAGCTGTACATGTACTAACATCCGATAAAGGCACTACACCTGACTTGTTGATAACTAGCTGTACATGTACTAACATCCGATAAAGGCACTACACCTGACTTGTTTATCACTAGCTGTACATGTACTAACATCCCATAAAGCCTATACACCTGACTTGTTGATCACTAGCTGTACAGGTACTAACATCCGATAAAGGCACTACACCTGACTTGTTTATCACTAGCTGTACATGTACTAACATCCCATAAGGGCACTACACCTGACTTGTTGATCACTAGCTGTACAGGTACTAACATCCGATAAAGGCTATACACCTGACTTGTTGACCACTAGCTGTACAGGTACTAACATCCGATAAAGGCACTACACCTGACTTGTTTATCACTAGCTGTACATGTACTAACATCCCATAAGGGCACTACACCTGACTTGTTGATCACTAGCTGAACATGTACTAACATCCCATAAAGGCACTACACATGACTTGTTGATCACTAGCTGTACGTGTACTTACATCCCATAAAGGCACTACACCTGACTTTTTGATCACTAGTTGTACATGTACTAACATCCGATAAAGGCTATACACCTGACTTGTTGATCACTAGCTGCACATATACTAACATCCGATAAAGGCACTACACCTGACTTGTTGATAACTAGCTGTACATGTACTAACATCCGATAAAGGCTATAGACCTGACTTGTTGATCACTAGCTGTACATGTACTAGCATCCCATAAAGGCACTACACCTGACTTGTTGATCACAAGCTGTACATGTACTAACATCCCATAAAGGCTATACACCTGACTTGTTGATCACTAGCTGTCCATGTCCTAACATCCGATAAAGGCTATACACCTGACTTGTTGATCACTAGCTGTACATGTACTAACATCCGATAAAGGCTATACACCTGACTTGTTGATCACTACCTGTACAGGTACTACATCAGGAACTTCCTATCGGGACACCTGTCTCACTCCAAGGCCCGTGTTCATGAAACCGTTATCATGCTCAAACTCACATCCAGTGTGCAAACCCAATGTCTTGTTCTTGCGATACATTAATCAATTAAATAACATGGAGAACAATGATACATTATAAACTGAATACAGTTGTAAATGTTAACACCTGACTTTTCTTTTGTGACACTTAATTTAAGCGAGTTACAAGAAAGTTGGCCTGAGCACAGATTCCATGCTTGAGCATGAGAATAGTTTCATAAATACGGCCCAGGGAATTTTCTTTAAATCGACAGTATCCCCCCGAAAATCAAAACAAAACAGAAAATAACTTGTATATATTCTGATCACATATTTGTCTCGCACATCATGATCCATGCAGGAAACATTAATTTTAAACTTGATTCATCACGTTTTACTTAATAACATATGTCCTATGAATGCAAACTATTTCATTTTGTTGATGACATCTACTGGCATACTGTTAGATAAGGGCACGTAATGATGAGGAATTACTTGTCCCGTAGGTGAAGTAGCCATTTATAACATTCTTCTCGAGTGGTGGTATCATAGGGTCTGCCAGGCCTGAGACTGTCAAATGTCGACCCAGTGTGGTTAAAATGGTGCCACAGGGCAACTTGGCGATTTAGCTTATCAAATTGGAGCATTCCAATAATTCTGTCTCTGTCCTCTTTCGGCAGTCACGATGTTGCTTTACATCGAGCAACGTTTTCAGTGTGTGCTTACTAAAACCTTCACTGTCTTTGAAGCAGGAAAGAAATATTTCCTGTCAACAAAAAAAGCCTCCCATTCTGCAAGCAACTAATATGAGCTTCGTCTTATAACAAAAACTATCTTGCAGGTTTCTACAGGGATACATTTTAGCGTTCTAGTTTTTGTTATGTAAAATATATGTATGCGTGTGTATTAATGTTATGTCATATCCTATGGTTTGACTTTTCCTGTGTAATGAATGCGTTGCATATTTGTCATTGTATGTTGACGCCGTGGTACATTTTTTCATTGTATGTTGACGCCGTGGTACATTTTGTCATTGTATGTTGACGCCGTGGTACATTTTGTCTTTGTATGTTGACGCCGTGGTACATTTTGTCAGTGTATGGTGACGCCGTGGTACATTTTTTCATTGTATGGTGACGCCGTGGTACATTTTGTCATTGTATGTTGACGCCGTGGTACATTTTGTCATTGTATGGTGACGCCGTGGTACATATTTGTCATTGTATGTTGACGCCGTGGTACATTTTGTCCTTCATGTTATCATTTTCCCTTAGTGTAATGATAATGTGCAATAACATGACCGAGTCCGTTGACCTATTGTTATATTTTGTCATTCAAAGTTGGCCAATTGGTGCATGTTGTCCTTGTGTGTTAACCTATCGGTATGCATTATTTGTGTGTGTTAACCTATCGGTATACATTATCTTTGTGTTAACCTATCGGTATACATTATTTGTGTGTTAACCTATCGGTATACATTATCCTTGTGTTAACCTATCGGTATACATTATCCTTGTTTGTATACCTATAGGTATACATTATCTTTGTGTGTTAACCTATCGGTATACATTATCCTTGTTTGTTTACCTATCGGTATACATTATCTTTATGTTAACCTATCGGTATACATTATTTTTGTTTGTTTAACCTATAGGTATACATTATCTTTGTGTGTTAACCTATCGGTATATATTATCCTTGTTTGTTAACCTGTCGGTATACATTATCCTTGTTTGTTAACCTGTCGGTATACATTATCCTTTTTTGTTTACCTATAGGTATACATTATCCTTGTGTTAACCTATAGGTATACATTATCATTGTTTGTTTACCTATCGGTATACATTATCTTTGTGTGTTAACCTATCGGTATACATTATCCTTGTTTGTTAACCTATCGGTATACATTATCCTTGTTTGTTTACCTATAGGTATACATTATCTTTGTGTGTTAACATATCGGTATACATTACCCTTGTGTGTTAACCTATCGGTATACATTATCATTGTGTGTTAACCTATCGGTATAAATTATCCTTGTTTGTTTACCTATAGGTATACATTATCATTGTGTGTTAACCTATCGGTATACATTATCCTTGTTTGTTAACCTATCGGTATACATTATTCTTGTTTGTTTAACCTATAGGTATACATTATCCTTGTGTTAACCTATCGGTATACATTATCATTGTGTGTTAACCTGTCGGTATAAATTATCCTTGTTTGTTAACCTATCGGTATACATTATCCTTGTTTGTTTACCTATAGGTATACATTATCTTTGTGTGTTAATCTATCGGTATACATTATCCTTGTTTGTTAACCTGTCGGTATACATTATTCTTGTTTGTTTAACCTGTCGGTATACATTATTCTTGTTTGTTTACCTATAGGTATACATTATCATTGTTTGTTTACCTATCGGTATACATTATCCTTGTGTTAACCTATCGGTATACATTATCCTTGTTTGTTTACCTATCGGTATACATTATCCTTGTGTGTTTACCTGTCGGTATACATTATCTTTGTGTGTTAACCTATACATTATGTTTGTGTGTTAACCTATCGGTATGCATTATCATTGTGTGTTAACCTGTCGGTATAAATTATCCTTGTTTGTTTACCTATCGGTATACATTATCATTGTTTGTTTACCTATTGGTAAGCTTGTCCAGTGTATTGACGCTATGGCGCAATTAGGTCTTGTATATTGACACCGTCCTTAAATATAATGTGAACAAAGGATGGTTAAAGGTTGTTAAAACATTTTGTATCCTCATTAAGATATCCATAGGTTGTTTTAATTCACTGAAGTGCTCACTTTTAACATTTGTCAATTCTTCTGAGTAACATACAGTGAAGCTAGAAAGCAGAACTTTGACGGTTATTGTGACCAATATTGATCGTAAGCTTTGTATTTGTTTTGCCCTTTAAAACTCTGCTAAATGCAGCCGTCAGCGCGGGTTGTTGTCGCCGTATTTTATTTAAACTTGTCAACCATGTGTACGTATTACAACCCATGCGTTGTGTATACATAGGACTCCCTATTTAGTTCTGCTGATTAGTTAACACGTTCAATACAATGCTTGTTTTACACTTTTACAGTTACCCGTCCTGATTCTTCTCGTCATACTCCCTGTTGTCACAGCAGAATGTGCGTCCATTCCATATCCAAGACTGCTCAGAGAATGTTACAATGATATTTGCAAGAAATTTCCAACCAATGATTATCCTGGCGAACTGCCAAGCATCATTTGTATCAACAAGTATCGATGGTGGACAGACTCGGAGTCGTGTCATCCTCCACTACTTCCGACTACGTTGGATTATGTCCGAGATTTATCTGAAAGGGGTCACCACGGAAGGGACAAGAGGGAAGCAACAGTTCCAAAACGTAAAAGGAAGGAAATCAGGATGTTAACTAAACGTGAATTAAAGAAGTACTTCAAAGCATTAAAAAAGCTCAAGAGAAAGAAAGTACGTATAAATAAGAGGTGAAAACTACCCTTAGGAATCTCCAGTTCACTAATGAATATGCATTATCCACATGTATTGATAGTTTGTAGAAATTAACACCATAAGTAAATTACACTAGTACTAATATTTAGTCAGTACCAATGTATCACCATCCTTGTATGACCAACAGTGCTGTACATGACAATAGTATAAACTATTGGACAGTATTAATGTATCACCATTCTTGTATGACCAACAGTAATGTACCTGACAATAGTATAAATTATTACCCAATAGTCTATATAAATTATAATTGGTCATTTTTGACTGTTTCTGGCTTTTTGTCCAATTTCGGCTGAAGGGGTGAAACAATCAAAACTGTTTTCCCGGTCAGAGAGAACTGTTACCCGGCGCGAATTCGATGCGCAGAAATCCCCCCTCGAGAGCCCCGTTCAAGCGTTTCGGTGACCGCGACTCAGTGTTGAAGCAATGGCAACATTGCATGCAGCATTGATACTAATATTTATTTGGTAATAAAACAATTGTTTCATGTTTATTTTGGAAACAGTCAAAACTATCATCCCTCGGTAGGGGGAAGCCCTGTGGAACTGTTTGCCCTTGGCCTAGCGGCCTCGGGCAAACAGGTCCCCAGGGCTTCCCCCTACCTCGGGATGATAGTAGTATGACTGTTCCCCAAATAGCCATGAAACAATTGTATACTGTTAGACCGTATCAATGTATCACCATCCTTGTATGACCAACAGTGCTGTACATGACAATAGTATAAACTGTTAGACCGAATCAATGTATCACCATCCTTGTATGACAAACAGTGTTGTACATGACAATAGTATAAACCGTTAAACAGTATCAATGTATCACCATGCTTGTATGACCAACAGTGTTGTACATGACAATAGCATAAACTGTTAGACAGTATCAATGTATCACCATCCTTGTATGACAAACAGTAATGTACATGACAAGAGTATAAACTGTTAGACAGTATCAATGTATCACCATGCTTGTATGACCAACAGTGTTGTACATGACAATAGTATAAACTGTTAGACAGTATCAATGTATCACCATGCTTGTATGACCAACAGTGTTGTACATGACAATAGTATAAACTGTTAGACAGTATCAATGTATCACCATGCTTGTATGACCAACAGTGTTGTACATGACAATAGTATAAACTGTTAGACAGTATCAATGTATCACCATGCTTGTATGACCAACAGTGTTGTACATGACAATAGTATAAACTGTTAGACAGTATCAATGTATCACCATGCTTGTATGACCAACAGTGTTGTACATGACAATAGTATAAACTGTTAGACAGTATCAATGTATCACCATGCTTGTATGACCAACAGTGTTGTACATGACAATAGTATAAACTGTTAGACAGTATCAATGTATCACCATGCTTGTATGACCAACAGTGTTGTACATGACAATAGTATAAACTGTTAGACAGTATCAATGTATCACCATGCTTGTATGACCAACAGTGTTGTACATGACAATAGTATAAACTGTTAGACAGTATCAATGTATCACCATGCTTGTATGACCAACAGTGTTGTACATGACAATAGTATAAACTGTTAGACCGTATCAATGTTTCACCATCCTTGTATGACCAACAGTGTTGTGCATGACAATAGTATAAACTGTTAGACAGTATCAATGTATCACCATGCTTGTATGACCAACAGTGTTGTACATGACAATAGTATAAACTGTTGGACAGTATCAATGTATCACCATCCTTGTATGACCAACAGTGTTGTACATGACAATAGTATAAACTATTGGACAGTATTAATGTATCACCATTCTTGTATGACCAACAGTGTTTTTAATGACAATCGTTTTTATTGTTGGTCAGTGTTAATGTAACGCCGTCCTTTTATGACGTGTAAACAGATACCGGGTACAAACGTTAGCGTGTACGACTCTCTGGCCCATATACATAACGGAGATATCGCCAGGACGGCGCACATTGGACCCAATTTCCTGGGCTGGCATCGCGTCTACCTGTATGCGTAAGTACACAGAACTGTGTTATAATGCCATAATTTATTAAGGACTCGATATTTTACTAAAAGTCGGTGTATATTGTCCATCACACAAACAGTATCATACATTTTACTTGACTGTATTCGCTTTTCAAAATACAGAGCGGGGTCGGATATACCCGGACATTTTAGGAGAAAATGATGTGTATGCTAAATATTGAGCGAAGTCCCTTAACCAAACCCGTTTACAAAGCTTGTATTGTGCATCAATAACGTGATAAACTTAGTGCATCTAAGTCCGTGGATCAAGTATTATTTGTAAACCAAACTCAGTTAATAAATCATTTTGTGGGTGATTCCTCACTGGGGCGAAGTTGATAACTTATTCAATATTTTGCCTCACACATCAATTAATTATGTAATGAAATACAAACAGTAGGGTCAACACCTATGGAGACTTAACATTACCGTCGGCCCCACTTGGAATTTCAAAACAAGATAAATCCGAAAATGTATGAGTATAGGAAGCTTAAATCAGGAACAGCAAGTTTCAGAATTCATTTTGTGATAAATGGGACCTCCTTGACTTACACCAGTGTGGGTGTTAAAGGTGCAGTGATACAATTCGTCCAAGAGCATTTAAATGGCACAATTACTATATAATTATATCATCATCGTGTGCAACATATTCCAACTGTTATTTTGATACCGAATATGACACTATTTCAAGAAAGAATTGTTCTTTTTATTGAGGATTTAAGCAGAAAAGTATGTGAAATTTCATTACTAATGAGAACATTTATATTTCTTCCTTAAAAGCTGGCTACCAATAATATCTTTCAACACCAGGAATTTCAAAAAAAAAATGGCAACCGGTTATATGAACACTTTTGATTCAAAAAAAGAAAAACATAGCTTTCTTTCCACTTTTCCTTTAACATGTGTTTCTTCATGACCAAATGGCCTTAGGTCTTGATATTTGACAAGTAAGTTGTTCATGTGAATGGATTTAAGTTTTGTAAACGTTGATCACCTTGATCTGCGTTCAAGGTCACAACAATCAAATATGCTAATATAACATTTTTGTATTGGGAGTCAGACAAGGTGATCTTTCCTGGCTGTATTTGTTTAGAGCTCACGATATAAAATAATGTAATATTCCTTTATATTTTGTTTAATGAATGGGCAATACGCAACATAAGATAATAACAAGAACTGTAAGCCAAAGGCTAACTTATATCCTCCACTCCTTTATAAAACAGAACTGTAAGATAAAAGCTTACTAAAGGCAAAGCATTGCAAAGCAATCTATAGTCTCCCACCAGTAATTATTTAAGTATATGGGTCACTGACATATTTCCTGTTCTCCCTCCTCATGCCAAACCATACTTGCATACCAAATCTTGTTAGCCCAGATGAACCAGTTTTGCCAAAATCGTCCTAGTAGTTAAGGAAGAGTTGTCAAGACAAAGATTTTTTAACAAAGGGCCATAACTACTTTAAAAGGGTCGAAATGAAAACATAGTACCCTGATGTACGACAAAGGACCATAACTCCTTTTTAAAGGGTTGGAATGAAAACATACTACTTGGATGCACAATGTCAGGGGGCAGTTACCATATCTGTACACTTCCGTTGAAATTGGCATTTTAGTTTTTGAGGAGTTGTCTGGACAAGTATTTTTCAACAAAGGGCCATCACTTTGTAAAAAGAAAAGTCAGAATAAAAAACAAATACTGGATGCACAACTTCAGGTGGTAGTTCATATCTGGAAACTTCCGTTGAAATTAGTCCATTACTTTAGAAAGAGTTGTCCTGACAAACTTTTTCTACGGACAGACAGATGGACAGGCAGACAAGCTGATTCCAGTATACCCCACCCCCTAACTTCGTGCGGGGGTATACTAAAGTGTATCATAGTTTTACTTTTAAAATTGTTTTTACATTATTGCATATCTTTGTCTATAGCACAATCTCAACATTAAGTAGTTATCCAGAGGAAGGTTACTTTGGCAGAATACATATTCATGAGTTATTACTGCTGCACATAACTTTAAAACATGCGTAAGATAATAAAGTGTTTTGGTATGATAAAAAAACACCAGGAAATGTATCGGTATTTACCATAAAAACATTGATAACACAATATCCATGATTATGTGAAATTTGGCATTGATCATGTTTGGCATGCTAGAAAAGTGTTTAGCCGGTTTTTTATATTACATTTGTACATAAAAACGATTCTGTAGACAGAATATATATACGATTTTTATTAAAGAAGTTAAATATAGGCAAGTTGAAAATGTTTGTTGAATTTTACATTTAGTGAAAATTTTGCATGTTTTTCTAATTAAAAGTACACTACGCTTACTTCATGTATACCAATATGACATATTTAGCATCAAAATGACAATAATTTTATACACTGTATACTATCATAATTCATTTTCAAAATAGCATTGGCCTGTGCCATTTATCTGTCATTTTGTTAGGATACCCCCGTCACTCAACCAGGTGGTATGCAAGGAGATCCACTACGGTTATATGCAGTTATTGATCATTTTTATGTATCTACATTTGGCAACAGAATAAAAGAAATCGAAGCATGGGCCACATGTTGACCCCACCTATGTGATTAACCTTTGAATAAAATGAACTCCTGCGACATAGTTAAGGCATGGTCAATAGTTTGTGAGAAGAACAACAACATATTAGCTATGTCGTTACATGTTTCTAGAAGGAAACAAAACAAAAATAGTCTAGCTTGCATGATCTATACAAATCTACCGCTATTATTATCATGACATCTTTCATACATTTTCTGTATTTTCAGGTTTGAGAACGCCTTACACAAAGTCCAGCCCGGAGTAATTCTACCCTATTGGGATTGCACTATCGAGGAGGGTCTACAAACGCCCAAACTATCAAATTTTTTCAGTAAAACTTTTCTTGGAAAGGCCGATGGTAAATTGAAAAAGGCTAAATATGGTGACAGTTCCATTTGGAATATTGTAAGAAACATTGAGACAGGTGGACCGCTACCAAGTCGTTTGGATATCATAAAAGTTCTAACACGAAACCGAACTATTGACATAGTAGTTCCCTTTGCAGTCGCTCCTTATAATCTAGAATATCTACACAACGGAATCCACACCTACGTCGGCGGCCATTTAACTTCACTCAATTTGGCAACTGAGGATCCAATATTTTTTCTTTTGCATTGTTTTATAGACTATATATACGAGAAGTTCAGACAGCGACAGAAATCCCTAGGTATCGACCCCACAATCAACGTCCCAGATCCGGGGGATGACTATTTGGGTGGAAAACATCGGCCTTACGCTAACATGTCCTTCTTCACAAACTACACGAACGCGGACGGATACTCAGACTACTGGACTGAGGAAGTTTATGAATACGAGGACAGTCCTAGTACATGTTACACGGACTGCGGATCTCCCAATCTCGTGTGTATCAAGGGGTTTTGTTATCCAAAAACTGGAAAAGGGATGCCTGTCCCAAGAAAGTTAACGGAAGAGGAATCGGAATATTTCAGAGGTAACAAATCTAACGTTGATAATGTCAATGAAACTGTAGATGAGACCAATAATTCTACTCCGAACAAACGAAGAAAACGCAGTGCACAAATTGAGTACGACACTGAAATTTGTAGCGGGTCTCACTGTCCCGGGTCGGACGCTCCAATACAAAACATCTTTAGCATCGACGGCGGACAAAGTGATATAGACGAATGGGTGTTCATCGCTGTAAAAGTTACGTTTTTTAGACCAATGAATCTACATTTCAACACTTTCCAATACCATAACGACTCAATAGACGACACGCATGATGTATTTGATTCTTTTTATTCGAAGAATTTACAAGCATCTATGCACGTTGGTCACCAAGGAACATACCATGACTTATGTCGCGTAAACAGTGGAGGGGTAGGCAGGGTGTTCGTCCGGTCGGACGGACTTAATTATAATGGCGATTCCATGGAATACGCACTTGTGGACGAGCGACATCCGGTCTCTACGGGAACAGCATACGTGCCTGTTAAGAGCCCGGTTTATTCTCCAACTGAAGTGTCGCTCATTGCTTATGATGATTGTGGCAGGTCATGTCTTCCAACATGTCTCGTTAAGGGTTCCAATCCACCAAAATATATTCCGTGTAGTGGATGTGTACGAATCGATAACTCACCCCCGTACTGTCACGGAAAGACCGTGGCTGATCTCATCTACAGCATGTGGCACTTCGGACGAGGAACCCAGACTGATAATGGAGAATGTCCGTCAGTGAAAGACTCAGCCATATTTGTCAACTTCCTCTGTGATTCGTCAGACGTATACCCCTGGGACCGCTTTAAAGAGTAATAAACACAATTCAATATAGGATTCTAAACAAAAATCAGCTTTATATCACAAAAAAGCTTGTTCCATGTTCACATAAAACATTTTATGAAGAAAAAAATGTTATTAAATTTCTGCAAATGATATGAATGTGTTTGTTAAAAATTATGTACTGGCATACAATATGTAATTATGGGTGGTCAGGTGGTGCAGAGGATAACGCACTCGTCCTTTCACCGAGGCGACCGGGTTTCTATTCCACGATCGGACGTGAAAGCTACAGGGTTCACCTGCCCGACTACGTGGGCATTCTCCGGGTACTCACAGCGCCCTAATGTCCGGGCCTGCAGTTGTTGATTTCAGCTGAACTAGCTTGTTTTATAATAGTTGTAAGATAAATCAAGTTTAGAAACAAGGTAACCGCGAAACGGTACATAATACGCCTGTCCCACGTTGAATGTATGAAATAGTTGTGAGTAATTGCTGTTTAAGAAGAAAGTATTCAACATACCTGGTAGATAAATGAGTGCAATCAAATATATTGGAATCTATGTAGTATGACATTAATGAAACCGAACCCAAGGGGTATAAGTCTGTACTTTAACCTTTCGAAAAAAGTTTTAAACTGAACAAGAGTTTTCTGGACGGGATTAAAATGCTAAAAAACGGGCGATAACTCTTTTAAATATAATTGGAAAAATATTTCAAGAAGACTGAAAGTCGTAGTGTGTTTTCAATGTTTACATGTGTCATTTTGTCCGTTTAACGTGATTTATGTGACTTACAAGAAAGCTTGTTTGGGTACAGAATCCATGCTTGAGCATGAGAACGCTTTCATGAATATAGGGATTGAATAATCAGAAACGCGGGAAAATGTTCTTAAACACACCACATGAACGGCCATAGCGAAGACAAACATAGAGGAGTTTATTTCCCCCAATTCAACCCCAATGTTTATATATATGACATTGGGGTGTAACTTTTACCGAAAGTCGATCTAAACCCCTAAAACATATAAAATAACTCTGAACATCTTAGTTTAGGTCCAAATATATATGTAACAAATTCGCATGTCTCTTTGGTCTCGGCCTCGCTATGTGCGACGTAGGCCTAGTGTTTATATGCCACATTCGTCATGTTCGTGGAAATTCACCCCTGTTCATACTTCCTACTGTTGGAAACAGCCAGATTTATTCCCTGTATCGCAACTATTTTGATCAATATGTGCAGACCCATATGAGACTTCGGAAAGAAATACCTTGTCAGTGCGAGCTTTGTCCGATTTATATCGTGGACACGCGTATGTCAGACGATAGAACATGTCACCTTTGTAAAAAGAAATGGTGTAGTCTATTGTAGTTTACACTTATTTATTTTAAACACTTCTAATACTAATAATATTTTTTTCTAATATTAAACAAAGATAATGGTTTAATGTAATGATAACAGTAGATTTAGCCATTTTTCCACGATGCGATTGGTTTATGAAATGAGAGACAACTCGAAAGAAAATGGGGATTTTAAAACTCTTAAAAGAAGTCCCATGAAACTAATATTAACATACAAAAATTAACATACTAATATTAACACACTAATATTTTAACATACTTATATTAACATGTTGATATCAGATTGCCTCCCCTGATTGAGTATGGACGGCCTTCACTCAGCTCCGATAAGAATGCGAAAAAAAACCTGTATAGATGGGCGACGGAGGACGTATAAAGACTGGAGGAAATAATAAAAGATAAGTTCGAACTATCGTTGCACTGATGTGTTATTATATTACTCTCATAAACACTCATATATTTGATGATTACTTAAAAGCCTTTGTGATCACCATGCGTATAATCGGTGTACATACATTTGCACGAGTGTTCACGTTGTATACATGTACGGGCCATATACCTCCACTCCAGAACGATACAGTAAACGGAATCGCTCCGATATCTCGACCACCTCAACACCATCCCCATCATTAACAAGAGACATTAAACGGGCAAAATCAACCGAAATTCTTTGTGATAGTGACGTCACTTCATCACCTTCTGTCACCTGTAATCCACACATGTCATTTGATCTAACAATGTCGACACCTTGTGCTAGTGGTCAACAATTCAATGCTAACCAAACGCCCCTCCCTAACAAGCTTCAACAGCAACTGCTGATAAACGCACTCTCGTCACAGGGGATTGTACCTCAGCAATTTATACAGCCCAGTACCATGAGCAATAGTATCTCCGACTCTGACATAGACCGTATTGCCAAAGCTGTGCGCAGCTTGATGATGGAAGACATAAACGTTATCGTCCAAAATCATATTGCTCCTTTGACTGATCGTGTGAATTCCCTCGAATCTGAAAATAAAAAACTCAGACACCAAATTGACGACGTTGAGCAATATGGCCGGCGGTCATGAGTAAGATTTTCAGGTTTCCCTGAAAAGGATCGAGATAAAACTACTAATACCATGTTGCAGGCTGCTGCCGCATGTGGGATAGGTCTCATCGTGTAGGGAAACCCCGTCCCAACCAATCCAAGCCACGACAAATCATCACGCATCCTCGCTCGGTTGACACCAAACTCCTCCTGCTGAAATCTGCCAAAAACTTCAGGAAAAATGAAATCTTTAAACATATATCTGTAAATGAATATCTTACACAGCTCCGCAGCCAACTCGCCTATCTCGCTCGACAGGCTGTAAAAAATGGCCATGCCTCTCAGATCTGGACTACCAACGGAAAAAATATTGGTTAAAGATCGTAATGAGCGCGTCCATCTAATAAAAACGGAACGAGACCTCACTGCATTCGGCCATGATATGCACACTTGACTAATGACTATGACATGAAACTGTTATGTTAATGTAGCGAGTAGGCCCTTATGGTCTGCAGTACACACGGACTTTAGTGTATATCGCTACAGTACAGTTTCCATTTATACTACAGTCGTATATTATCTCCATGCAGTGTTTGTTTTGCTATGAGTTACAAAATGACTTTCATAGCTATGAAATATGATTCGAAACAAAAACGTGCTATTCTGATTCATTGTACTTACAGCTACCTAACACCAGTGATCCTCCGATACCATGTTGATGTATTTACGTTATGTATACTAGGTATCTATACTATGTATGTATAAAGTATGTTCTATACGTATGTATGTATGTATGTATGTATGTGTATGTATGTATGTATGTATGTATGTATGTACTTTAAAATGTCGAGTGAACTGGACCCTGTCTCAAGGGTGATCTGCGAAACATTTCGATTTTATTTTCATTTTACTTATGCCCTGCCGCGACACTGCTCTGAACATTTATTGCTCTTGCCCATCCGTCCATTTCGGGTCACTTGGCTTCATTTTCTGTCAACGCTCCTTTAAGTTTGCAATAGTACTGACGAGCTAATGGATGTTAGTGATGTCTTGTTTCGCGGATCTCGTTTGGGGTATACATTAAATCTCTTGAAACGTCTTTTCTTTTGTGTGAATCTATATCTTTTTAAACTTTATTTTATTGAGGTAAACATCACTTTTTTTGTATTATACTGCTATATATGTCCTTATTCTAGATGTATGTACGGATGTATGTATATATTCTCCTAGCGTACTCCTCCATTATCTCATGCCAAGTGCATTTTTCTATCCTCCTGATCCATCTATTGTTCATCATGTTCTCCAGTGCATTTTGACTACTTTACTTTTCATTATTAGCACGAACCCCTTCCCTCCACAACGTTCACCCTATTATAAATATACTTTTCCTCAAATACTAAACTGCATTATACTTTCCTACTCAAAACTCTGTTGGTCTTAGTACGAAATGGTTCACTATGCACCCTATCCGGATGCGATTTCTCATGTTTCTCCAAAGATTATCCTCTGTAACTTAAATGCCGATCTGCCCTAATTTGTATTGCATCCGGATAGGCCTTTTTTACAATCGTTGTTATTCTGTATTTTATAACTATACATGTATGTCTGGAGCTATGCTTGTAGACATCTTATTTGTGCTATTTATACTATATGTATTACCGCTATTGGTGAATGTCCTACTTACTCCAATTAAGTTACAAACACCTTTTACTGATATGAATGTACCTAATGAAGTTAAGAGTGTTGTATCTCTCTCTACCACGCTATGTATCACTTTGTTAATAATTAGATTTTTGCTCCTTCTCTCTGTTGATGTTGAGAGTAACCCTGGGCCAAGTGAGTCTGAATCAGATCTATCCTCGGTTTCATCATGTTCTTCTAATTTTGCAACTTTATTTGATGACGCCAACTATTCTTTTGTGCACATGAATGTCCAAAGTTTGAAACAAAAACTTGACATTCTTTTCAGTGAACTACATAATATAACTATCCTGTCCTTTACCGAAACGTGGCTTAGTCCTGACGAGATAACTTCTGATTTTGACTTTCTCGGTTTTGCACCCCCTTATTGTTACTGCAGACCCAATAGGCAAGAAGGAGGAGTGGCAGTATATGTAAGCAATGAAATTTCCTCTAAACGTCGACCCGACCTAGAGTTACCCTCAGTAGAGTGTGTATGGTTGCAGCTAAATATTTCTGGAAGGTCCATTTTATATGGGACTATCTATAGGCCCCCCGATGCACTAGTTTCTTCCTGGTATCACATTGCCCATTCTATAGATCTTGCATTCAGTACCGGAATCTCTAACATAATTGTAACTGGTGACTTCAATGCAAATTTACTAAGTGACACTAATCACTGTCTACGCCTACGTAATTTACTATATACTTTAAATCTTACCCAAAGCGTTGCCAGTCCTACTTTCTTCACTGAATCGTCTTCCTCCCTTTTAGATATAATTTGCCTAAGTGATCCTTCTTTAGTAAACATGTGTCATGTCGGTGAAAATTTCCTCGATCAGCCTCTTAGATATCATTGTCCCGTGTATGGCACTCTTAACACTTCAAAAACCCTAAAATCCAGTTCTAAACGTAAGATATGGCTATATGACATAGGCAACTACGACGAATATCGTGACAGACTTTCTAAAGTTGACTGGACAGCACTTTCGACATTAATGACATAGACAAAATTACAGAGTAATTTACACGTTATTTACTTACAATTGCAAATGAGTTCATACCTAATAAAGA